CCCAGACGTCTTCTCTCTCTGCAGAGCCACAGTCGGAGTCAGCCAGGAGCAAGATGTGGACAGGGGTGGCGGGGATTGTGCTGGGGCTGGTCTTTCTGGCTCCCGGCCTCGTCCTCTACCTGAAGAATAAGAAAGGTGAGGAGGGGGCTTTGCTTAGGGTTAATCCTGGGCCTGATTATTTGGAAGGACTGAACTTTCTGCGTTCACATGTGTGACTTCTGCTACCCAGAGACTGAATGGCAAGTGACCATTTAAACCCATAGCCCTGATCAAGTGGGAGGGCTTTGAGGATGTTTTGGGGGGGTGTTGTAGGAGTTGGGACTTGAGGTGGGGAACCCCTTAAAACTGATCACCTCCTTTTTGTCTTTTCTAGGTCAAAGAGTTATTCCTCAGCCACCAGGTAACTTCCCCTTTCTCTTGTCCTTTAAAACTACAGGTGGTGTTTTGGGCGCTAAAAGGGGGGAGGCACTTCAACTGCCCCTCCAGATGTCCCCCCCTTTCAGATGGGCTTCCAGAGTCTTCCAAAGGCGGGTCTCCCTTTCTAGAGAGAGTCAGGCGGAGAGAGGGAGGTGGGAAGGGGGCCCTTTCCAGGGAGGTTCCCCACTCTTTGGGTCCAAATGCCAAGTCCACGTCTTTGGTACCAAGACAAGTTCCCAAGCTCAAAAATCCAAGTTCCTTTTAAAAATAAGCTCTCTCCCCCCCCGAGAAAACGGAGGGGTGTGTGGCTTCCAAGTCATGAGTCAGGTCTCAGTCAAGTCCAACCTGACATCTCAGCATCCTGCGAAGGGAGGACCCTTCCTGCCCTCTTGCCTGGATAAGTCCCTTGGCAGGAGAGAGATGATCCTCTCCGGAAAACACTTCCCATCCCATAAATGTTGTGTCAATTATTTACATCTGGCCTAAACATGATATATTTACTCTTGACATGTGTTGTCAACAAGGAGCTTGCTAGGGTCATTTCCAAAACCGACATAAAATCTTTGTCCCACCACAGTGCTTGTAAAGTGAAAGACAACGCTTTTTTCCGTATGTATTGTGTGTGTGTTTGTGCATGCATGCACGGAAAAATACTTCTCTTTCTCCTATATGTATTCACTAAAACATGTAAGGAATTATTTCCAGCATTTCCTGCCAAAAGACAACATACCTTTAAGTCAACACATTCTAATGCCTACGGCTAAATTATTTCAGATTAAAATGGACTGTTGTTTCTGCTCAGAGCCTGAAATTCCAAAAGGGGTCCCTTTTCCTCTGAGCGTTTCTTCCTTTTGAAAAGCTTGTCACACATCCTCATGAAAGATGGGAGGCCTGTGGCCTTAATGAGACCAGGAGGGACTAAAACTTGATGTCCTTGTTGTGTGTTTCAAAGGGATGAATCGGTCAATCTTTAGGACTTTCAGTGTAGAGGATTCAATGAACCTTAACTGTTTAATCTCTTTCTCTCTTCTTCCCTCCTTGTTTTCTCTCTCTCTCCTCCATCTGCAGTGGCGCTCCTGCATTAGACCTCCCTGCCTTCCTGAGATCCCATCATAGAGCTGAGCTTTTATTTCTCCTCTTGTTGGCCTGCCTTTCCTCGCTGGAATGCTGGAAACTCTGGAAAAAGAGCAGCACAGATACAGAAACTGCCTGCTAATTTTTTTGTCCTCCACTCTTGGGCAGGGGAGATTTAGAGGAAGAAGGAAACC